ACCAACCCAGGAGTTGTTCGCTAACCCAGCAGCAACTGTGCGCGATCTTTCTGAAAAACGAACAAACAAAGGCCTGGTTTAGTTTCCAACTTTTTTTTCAAACTTCCACCTTTTCCATCACATCAAAACTTTTCTATACACACAAAACTTCTAACGTTTCCGTCACATCGTTCCAATTTCAATCAAATCTCTAATTTTAACGTGAACTAAACAAACCCAAAGCTAAGATTCATTTGTTCTTGAAAATAGATGACCAAAACATCATTTAGGAATTCCAGCAGGCGCCTGCTTACAGTACTTAAACCACAATAACTTATACTGAAAGTTAAAAGAAAAGATTCTGGATAAAAAGGGATCGATCAATCAACACAAGGACTTCTGAAAAATGAGCTAGGCAGAAGGAAAATATCATTCCTCAATCGAGTATAATCTTATCAGTTCTTACAGTTGAATCACACATTAAAAAACAAATTTATAATCCTCCCATCATGATAGACTCTAAATTGAATTTGTCAAGCAGAATTTTTTTTCTTGAATAATTTTACAATCAGCTGCTTTACCCTAAAGACGGTTGGCTTCTCCACCTAGTTTCTGAAGAAATAGAAGCCCATTATTTATACTTGAAAAGGAGAACCAATAGCTAGCTTTCGATTAGCTTTTGTGGTTTCTCATAATCTCTTCCACTAAATCACTTCATTTATATAAGCCAGACAAGCCCAAAAATATTTTCTCCAGCTTGCATACATAAGAAGGCATCTTTTCTCGGGAAAATATCATGTGGAGCTAAGTATTTAAAACTCGTGAAAATTATACCTAAAAGTTTTATAAATTCATGAAAAATTATTAAAGATAGGTGTAGAACGAAACACACTCTCATCAAATATCAAGTCCAAACTTAACTTCAATTGATAGAAAAAAAAAGACAAATTTCAGGTAAATAGTGTCATGTTATACCGTTCACCCGAAATTTGTCTTTTATTTTTTACTCCCAAATAAAATTGAGTTTGAACTTGAAATTTGATGAGAATATATTTCATATCTACACCTATCTCTAATAATTTTTTCATAAATTTTCTTTTAAAAAAATAGGTATGATTTTTACAAGTTTTTAACACTTAGCTCATTTTTATCGGATACGCCCTCTTTCTCTCTTGGCTTCTTGTTAGCAATTAACCCAAATTAAGCTAGCTGCTAGCTTCTCTGCTTCTTGAAAAAAAAAACATAAGCAAGGCAAGTCAAACAATATCATAACATACTATAATTAGGGAAATATTTAGTGGCCCAATCGGTCCTGCATCCATCCTGAAACTAACTATCCATCCATCACCGAACTGCACCCACACATTAATTAACTAACTAAAGCTTGATACCTGCAAGCAAAAGTGCTAATCATTCTGCATTACACAAAGTTTGACATAAAGCCTACGAGCACTTTGTGCCGCAGTGAGCGAGAGAGAAAGAGAGATTAATATCGAGCTAATTTAAACAAGATATGCGCTCAACTTGAGCACTTGACGCCAAATCACAGCTTGTCAAGTGTGCGACACGAGCGGCGTGTTTCGTCCCTTGTCGATCGCATCACGTAAAGCTAATTTAGCAGCTTGCAAGCACACACATACACACTCTGAATATATGTATGTATATCTAGCGATTAAATTATTTTGTTAACTACACTTGGTTAGCGGCGACGCCTGTAGTTTAGCTGCAGATTCAGGCAGACATGCACACAGGAATGCTCATTTTTGTATGCTAGCCCTGGCCTCCATTTGTTTCAGATTTATATATAATAATTGGACGCATGCAGTACCTGTCTCTTTTGATCCTCCCTGGTCAGACATTCTCCTTTAGCATTGACCATGCATGGAATGGAATGGAATGCATGTGGTATGAGATTAGCCATGAAATTAGTTTAGAATATCTCACTTTTATCAACTAATTAACAACTTATTTACGTTGTATTTTCCTTACAATAATAAAACCAACTAAGAATGCACACGGCTAAAATTATATGGACACTGGGATATAACTATTATATTCTCAATCCGGAGAAGAGATTGATAATATCTTGAAGAACAGATCGCGCAAGGCGTGCATAATTAATGCATAAGCGAATTATACTGTCCTCCTTTCTTTTAGCTTAAACTTTTGGGTAAACTGACTGATACCTGCAACTTCAGTAGGGTATGTATGCCACTCCAAAACTAAAGATGGGTGATTAAATTACTAATTATATGGAGTATTAAATACTTAAAGATCTTCCACTTTGCACAAAGCCAACGCAAGACCGGTCCAATGTAAGCATGTAATGCTCCACAGCTAGCTAGCTCGAGTGTGAGTTAGTGAGTGAGTGAAGCTCGGGTTAGTTAATTAACCTGTAGTTAGTTAGTTAATTAGCCGGCGAGGGAGCGAGATAAGGTTCTTCTGGGCTGAGTGCTTGGGGCTTTGATGCCATCGACACCCTGCCGATATGTTAATTAAATGGCCGCACGCACTGCCTAATGTCCATCCACCGATCCGTTCTTTCTTTAAGTTAATTAATTAATTAGCTGGTTCTGAATTATGTATTTCTGATCAGATACACATATATATATTCAGATCAAGAGTTCAAATGCATAGCATGGATGTACGGCTACCGTGCATGCGTCATGTGACCTAGCTAAGCTAAGGGGTTGTTCAGACTGATACCATTTCAAATCTTACCAATTTTTCGTAAAGTCGTCAAAGATTTACATCTATTTAGTTTTTTTTTAACCAAACTTTGATAAATACATAAAAAAATTCTACCAAAACTTAATAATATTATAAAATTGCTAAAATTTTAGCATTGATAAAATTTGATAAGGTTTATTTTGGTTACAATCTGAACCGTTTCTAAGCTAGTTAGGAAGAAGATGGACAGTAGTAGTTGTTGCATGTCTCTTGGGGCTTGTGTTTAGGCGTTTTGTATAGTCGCTGCTGCCGTAGACGACCTTAGAATCATCCAAGGGGCTAGCTGCTGAAATGCAATATAGTATATGAGAGAATGGAAGGACTACCACATGATCGATTAGTACTGAAGCTCTTGTTGGCTCCGGCAAAGTGGTAAGCTGATGGTTGAGTTTCCTGGCAAAACCGGCCGGTCAAGATCTAGTTCATGCCAAAGGCTTGAGCTGATGATTTGCTTCCTCCAATACTGGACATGTAATGTGAAGGTTGAAGTGGACCAAATTAATTAATTTTTCGATAAAAAAATGTGTTGTTTGTCTTGGTTGAGTTTCAGTCCATATCTCAGGATCAACCTTGATACTATCTATATATACAAATTAAACCCCTGCAGTCATAAATACTTGCAAATATTTAGGACAAGTTTTGGTTAAAGTTTTCAAACTTTGACTATCGTTTTTTGATTGAACTATTGATTTTATACTAAAACAACTTTATAAATTCTAATAAGTTAATGACATTTTCATAGTAGTTTTCAAGGCAATTTTGCCAATACAATTCCGTTTCGTTTTTAGGCTAAGCATTAGAGAAGTTATTCATGGTTAATGGTTTGAAAATTTATTTTTTTTTTTGTTTTAAACATTAAATATTTATAACCAGGGGGAGTATTAAGGATTGATTAGGAGGTTGTTAAATATAAGGGCAGAATATCATGTTGTTTTATGGATTAATTAAGGGCATGTCTAACACATTATGAAGTACCATTTGTTGTGCTTCTTTGAAAAAAAAACCATACATTGAGTACAATATTGACAACAAAACTATATCCTAAAATGTGTTATTCCCTAATTGTTTTTTTGACGCACGTCCTAATTTCATTATAGTCAAACTATCTAAAGCATATGCCACGGATATGTTAAAAAACAAACTTTTATTGTCATTTATGAACTAAAATACCTTTGTAACATGTATATTGCAATTCCATTATGTTTAGTACATGAAGTAAAAAAATTTGAAAGTTGTATACAGCTTGAAGTTCGCAATAAATGGAAGTTACTATCTTATAACTCTCTGTTGTTTGCATTTGTTATTTTTGATCATTTTTCTTTGGATAATATTGCTACATAATGATGATGCATGTGAGGTGGATTCAGTGTAGATGCTGGGGGGCCTCGTGTGTCCCCACCCCGCTAGATCTTGATGAAGAAGAGGAGGGATGGAAGGTGAAAAAAGAGGCGTAGGAAGAAAAGTAGATGAGTTAAGGAGGAAGAAGAAGATGAGCCTCGAGCCCCCTCTTGCTTGATGCTAGATCCTGTCCCTGGATGCTTGTTGATACCGAGTTTATAACCATTATTAATTTGAGTGTATAAATGAATGGGGTAAATATTAAAAAGTTAATAATAAGTTGATGTACGAAAATTCCAAAAATTGTTGATGAGGAATGCTTTTATTAAAAAAATAATCATACAATTAATTTAGAAGCTTGGGAAGCTTATCCACGATTATCCATGCATAATTCTTAACTGATTGGCAGAACACAACGAACTGAATATGAACCACGGTGATTATATATTAAAAGTTAAAACCAGATCGGACACTAGCTCTGGCGGCTCGCCATGTATGCGTACTTCTCAAGACAAAATAAGATACGAAAAGAAACAAAGTCTTGTAAGCCAAATTAAATTAATTAGACAGCAATGTGTGTTTGCACACTGACAGTTGAGCTGACAGACAGACCTGCTGCTGTGTTCTCTCGCCTAGAATTCTCACTGCACATGAAAACAGTATGTTTTGCTTCGTCTTCCTGCAAATCCTGCTTATATATTATCATCTCACAGCTGTAGATTTCCAGTTATCTAACTTGATATATCTCTTCTTAACTCTGTATCTGGCCATGCATGCGTGTCTCTTATCTCATCTGAGCAGTACTGCAGAATAATTTTTAATTTTTTTTATGATTGTTGGTAAATAAAATAAAATTGAACTTGTATGATTTAGCATTGCTTAATTCATTCATCAATCATATTTAAATTCATGTCAAATAGACCAAAGTAAAAATGGAAGGTGCACATGGATGCTAGCTAGGTAATCCCTCTCTGTTAATATTTATCATGTCATTAATTTTGCACGCATCGTTACATCACATGTCTCTACACGCACCATATTACCAGCCGGGCCACTGACAGGTGGGCCCCACTGTCAGCCACACGCGCGCCTCTTCTTCTTCTTCCTCTAGCTATGGCGCCAAAACGAACAAAGGAAAAAAAAAGAATCGAATCTATGGCCGCAGCGGCCGGAGGTGGACGGGGACGCCGTGCTTGGGGCGGAGGGTGAGCACGTTCTCCGGCGCGTGGCGGTAGTTGTCGGAGATGGCGAAGCGGAAGGCCGAGAGGAGCATGGCGAGGACGACCTTGGCCTCGACGAGCGCGTACGCCTGGCCGACGCAGTTGCGCGGGCCGGCGGCGAACGGCAGGAACCTGGCGGCGCCGGCGGCCGACGGGCGGCGCGCGCCCGGCGCGAACCTCTCCGGGCGGAACTCGTGCGCGTCGGGGCCCCAGATGGACTCGTCGTGGTGGATGGCCAGCACCGGGATCCACACCGACAGCCCCCGCGGCAGCCGGAGGCCGCCGAGCTGGATGTCCTCGAACGCCATCCGCGGCAGCAGCGTCGCCGGCGGGTACAGCCGCAGCGTCTCCTGGATGATCATCTGCAGCTGCAAGAAAAAGATTCTCATCATCATGACATCATCAATGGCGGCGCCCAAGCAATGCCGAATCGATCGATCGATCGATCGAGTGGTGGTTACCACGGTGAGCTTGGAGAGGTGGTCGGCGGACGGCGGGTGGTCGCCGCAGACGGCGGCGACCTCGGTGCGGGCCTTCTCCTGCCACGCCGGGTTGGTGGCGAGCAGCATGATCGCCCACGTGAGCAGCAGCGCCGACGTCTCGTGGCCGGCGAAGAAGAAGGTCTTGCACTCGTCGATCACCAGCTGCGCGTCGTAGCTGAACTCGCCGCCTCCGCCGCCGCCATTCTTCTCCTTCTCCTCCATCTCCGACAGAAGCATAGCCAGCAAACCCCTCCCGTACGTCGCCACCGCCGCCCTCCCCTCGTCGGCGATCTCCCTGCTCCGCCGTATCGACTCCATCAGCACCGCCTCCAGCTCGCCGTTGAGCCGCCTGATCTCCCTCCTGTACTTGCTCGGGAAATACCTGCCAAATATTTCCTCATTAATTAATCGTAAAACGTGTGCATCTGATGACAAATTGTCGCATCCAAAACTAATCAGATATTCTGTTCGTTGTAGTCAAAATCAAACTGTTTTAAATTTGATCAGTAGAAAAAAAATAGTAATATTTTCAAACCCAAGATAAATTTATTATAAAAATATATTTAATTACTGATTTGATGAAATTAATTTATTTATAAATTTAATCAAATTTAAAACAGTTTAATGTTGTCTTCTAACCTGGAACGGAGAGAGTAGTGATGGTCCGCACGAACCGCGTAATTAACTAACATCCAACACCCGCCTTAATCCGGATTAATTTACTCGTAATGCACCGTCGTCTCCGGCGGCGGCGAGGGGGTGGGGGGACTCACTGGCTGCCGGGGATCCAGAGATGGCGGCTGGAGCGGGAGGTGAGGCGCTGGAGGTGCTCGAGGAGGAGGAAGATGCGCTTGCCAGTGTCGTAGCTGGTGTTGAACTCGGTGCGGGAGATGATGTCGCCGGTGAGGCGGGTCATGTGGGCGCCGATCTCCACCTCCTCGCCGCGCCGCCCCGCCGCCGCGTCGCGGAGCTCGCGGATCGCCTGCTTCGTGCACTCCACCATGCGCCCGACTCTCCCCTGCACCGCCCGCGTCAGTCAGAGATCGAGAGGGGGGGGGGGGGATGCCAAATCGAAAGGTGTTCGACGCGTGCCTTGAGCTTGTCGGCCATGAACGCCGGCGCGACGACGTGGCGCTGGTGCGCCCACCTGGCGCCGTTGGCCATGAGCAGCCCGCCGCCGATGAAGTGCTTCGTCCCCTGCCTCTGCAGCCACGACTTGCCGGTGGCGTGGGCGTACTTGGACGACAAGAACTCCTTGATCAGCGCGGTGTCAGTCAGGCACAGCCTCGGCTCGCTCCCGTACAGGTACACGAACAGCTTGCCTGCAAACCAAAAAGAGTCAACGAACGAACGAACAATCGCCGGCGGCGGCGTGTCGCGCGCGTGGCGTGCTCACCGTATGTCCCGGACCAGAGCACGTAGTGGGGCATGAGGCGGCCGACGATGTCGTGGCTGAGGGACGGCATGTCGTCGGCGGTGGCCCTCGCCACGAGCGCCGACACCTCCCGGAGGTTGCCGACGAGCGGGCGCGGCGGCGGGCCGCGCACGCCCTGCGCCGCCATGGCGCGGCGGATCCTCATTGGCGTCAGCCAGTAGCAGGACAGGGTCACCCACGCCGCCCTCAGAAGCAGCGCCACGAGAGGCGACGACGCGGCGATCACCATGAGCGACACGAGGACCGCCATTGCCGCCGCAAGAAATTCAGCGAGCGGGAGAGAAGGAAGAGATCGACAAGATTTGTCGCCTCGCCGCCGCACACTCTACAAAATGCTCCTCTGCTGCTTATATATACAAACAACCTGATAATCTCCTTGGATGAACAGATTTGATTGCCATTAAAGCATATGCCATCAAAATATTTATTTTTGCCTAAATCTCTCCCTTATCAAAAGTTATTTCCTTCCTATTGTCTCCTCTTGACTGATAAGGAAGGCCATTGCTGCTAATGCGTTATGTTTTTTTCCCCTTTAATGTGGGTTAGATAACCGTTGTTGCAATGCAAGCGGGCCAACCCGCGAGCTCACTTATAAATCAAATAAGTGGTAATCCGTGGGTTTTCGCGTTTTGGCCCGACTTGCCGTATCTAGAGATGATGTAAGTGGGTCAACCCATAAACCCATTTATAAGTTAAATTAGTAGATAACCCACAAATTACATGTTAAATTTTACCTATAAACTTCGCGGGTTCGCCTGCTTGCATTTCTACAAGTGCAGAGACTAGTGAGACTGTGTGCAATACACACGATGGAGTTATTAGACATCCAACTCCAGGGTAGCAAGGCCCGGCCCGTCGTAGAGGCTAGATTGAATTCCATTATCGAAATAAACCTTATTTGGAATGTGCATTATGAAGTACCAAAATTGATGTGGATAATGGTTATCTCACTGTCTTGCCATTGGAAGAAATTAAAGAGGAATTAGTGCACCACATATAGTAGTTATTTATTAATTGCTTGATATTTTATACTATCTCTTAGTTGGGTCTAAAATTATGTTCAGGATATGTGGAGATCAAGTGGGAAGATCTTATGGAGCTCATGTGTATGTGCATGTAGTTTTCTACAAATAACTAGTCAAACTTACAAACTATAAGTAAACTTTAAAAAAAAATTGTAAGCGGCTATATAGTTTTAAATATCTAGACACGAGACATGAAAAGTATTTCTTTAAATTTATTGTTTTAGCATGTTTTACATGTAATCCTACATTGCAATAGAAGTTGTCAGTTACGGCCTGTTTGGTACAGCTCCAACTCCTAAATTTAACTCCAGGAGTTGGGTCTGGAGTGGAGTTGTGGAGCTGCCTAAACCCAGCTCCACAACTCTAGTTTATTTTGTGAGAGAGCTCCACCCAGCTCCACTTACAGTTTTGGTGGAGCTGAAACTGTTTGGCTAAGCTCCAACTCCAGGAGGGGTGGAGCTGGAGCTGGAGCTGTGCCAAACAGGCCCTTAATATCTGAGGAGATGAACAAAATCTTGAAAGGATCAAAATACCTATACATATCCACCTCTATGTAGAGCTTAATCATACTATTATAAGACACATGATCAAATTTATATATAGTAATCAAATAAATGTGTAGATATAGGACAATAAGAGCCTCTCCTGCTATTTTCTCATCAGAAGGAAAAGTAAATGTGTAGAGTGATATTCTATAAACGACTTACAATTATATAGAAACAAATCAGCCGGAATATTGTATGAGAGTGCATATCACCCATTCTCGGGGATGGGTTAAGTTTTGTTACAACATATATTGTCCTGGTTACTTAGGCAAATACAAATTTATTCTGCAATTACATAGAAGATCAATACGTACTCACATTTCCGTGATTGCACCCACTAACCCATGCTCCAAGAGACAGAAACCAACGACACATTTCTTATCTAACTAAATTCATGTTGAAAGATCATCTGCATGTGAGTAATATTGTAAGCACCAGGATTTGAATTTTGGTGGGTAGAGTCCAGCACCTACGACTCCATCACCATACTTCTAGTGCTTCCCCAAAACAAGTTGACTACATATCTTTCGTTTTAGATGGCCATTCCGTCTACTTACTTACCTAGTATCGACCTATTAGAGAATAATCACTAATTACTACTCCATTTTATATTATAAATCGCTTTAGTTTTTTTTTCCGTTCGAATGTTTTTAAGTTTGACCAAATTTATAGAAAAATATAGCAATACTTTCAATACAAAATAAACATATTATCAAATATATTATATGTTAGTTCTAATTTGATGTTGTAGATGTTATTATTTTTTTATAATCTAGATAAAAATTAAAGAAATTTGACATGAAAAAAAATATTAAAATGACTTATAATATAAAATAGAAGGAGTAATCAATAAATAAAATAAGTAGAGGGCCATGCTCCGGGTTGGCCAGGTCTATCCTCCAGTATTGCTAGTGTTCAAAATGACATTTATTGTGATTGAAACACAACATATTTTAAATTTGAGAGAAAAAAATATATCCCCGTCCCAAAATATAAAGTGTAAATGGCTTTTACACGGTCTCCAACATTATACTTTAACCATCAATATCTTTATAATATATTATTAACATCATATGAAAGCATTTTCAAATACAAATCTAATGATAAACATGCATAAAACTAAATTTATATACTATTAGTTTAATTATTAGTCAAAAATTTGAAAATATTGATATTTTCCTAAAATGTTGTGCTCATTATATTTTGGGACGAGTGATTAAACTTACGATGGACTTCAGAAAATTATTTACTTGTAGAAAGCTGACCTATGGTTATTTGGCTTATTAGTGTAACTTAACTTGTTAGATTTTTGAGAAAATTCCTTGTGTACCCTTGAAAGTTTACCTAATCTCTTCTACGCCCTTGAATTTTGTTCATTCCCTTACATACCCATGAATTTAAGTTTGGATCTCTTCCATGCCCTTTTCGCTAATTGACCCTTAATTGACCGTTAAATTCTTATGAAAAAGCCCATTTTTGCCCTTTGCTGTGAAGAAGCATATAAATTAATAGTGTGTTGTTGGAGCGAAAAATTTGTTAGATGGGACTATTATATGAGTTAGTTATGCACCATATTATTTGTGATAAATATGATTTTAGATATCACATAAAAAATTTAATGCTCATTTTTTGTGTAGCATATAAATATATTTGTCTTATACAACAAATCTGTTATATTACTATCAAAACACATATGCTACATAAAAAAACTTTTAATAACTAATAAATAAATATTAACTTTTTACATCATATCTAAAAGTAAATTTGTCATAAATAATGTGGTGCATAATAAGCCCATAAATATAGTAGTCTCATCCAATAAATTTCTATACTCCAACAATATAATCCATTAATTTATTATGTTTCTTCATAGCAAAAGGGCAAAATAGACTTTTTCATAAAAAATTAACGGTCAACTAGGGAAAAGGGGGTGGAAGAGATCCAAACTAAAATTCAGGGGTATGTAAAGGAATGAGCAAAATTTAAGAACACTGGAGGGATTAGGTGAACTTTCATGGGTATATAGGAAATTTTCTCTAGATTTTTTTGGTGTAACGTGCCCAATTTTTCTATTCAGTGGTAAGGAACGTATCCAATCTCAAAATATGTTGGTCCAGTTAGGTGCTCATAGTTTTGATTTTTTTTTTTTGCACCATTGCCAACCAAAGTTCAAGGTTAAGATTTTCACTATTGCCCACCAATGTTATGGACACACACATATATATTGCACATACGCAAGCTCGGGGGATTGTTTGATGCCCTCAACAATACTCAGTTGTGCGTGTGTGCATGTGGTGGTGCGCTTTGAATTTGTCCAAATATATATACTCTTATAAAAGGGCCTCCATACATCAACAAACTCCAAAATTGAAGCACTAAGGACAGCAACACGAACCACAACTGTCGCCAGGAATTCTTGTCCGAAGCAGCAGGCCTTTAAACTAGAGTATCATCACACTAGAGAATGTATATAGAATTGTCAATCCCTTAAACAATCCCGGTACTTTATTCCGTATTCTTTCCCCCTGCACTTTCACCATAGATGATTCTGAAGCAAATTAAAGCCTTTCAGATAAGGAACAAAAACTAGTGCAGCTAACAAACAGAGAAAAAGGCAAAAAAAAAAAAAGAAGCCGAGAAAGGAGGCCATTTTTTGTTTCAGTAGCAAGCCTGCCTAGTTCTCTGCACCCTGCGCAAGTTGGAGAAAGAAAACCATATGCTATGACGAACAATCATACCAAAGCCAATATAGCTAGCCTCATAAGAAACAGATTGTTTAGTGAAGCTCAAACAAAAAGGCTCAAATACGAACAGAAGAAAGACAGCTTGGATGAGCTGTAGTCGATCAGATCAAGTCGGTGCACACTTCTTTCTGAATATGCTGCGGCAGCTGAAGATTAACAATTAGGGCTTTTACCTCAGTTTACTTTCCAAGTGACGAAGAGTCAAACAACCTGAAGAAATCTCTTGTCATAAGTATTAGTTCCAGGAGGTTTCGCTGTTGTCGGTTTTTTGTCGGTCTGTAAAACGCTAAGCCAAACTTTTGTGCTGGGAAGCACTAACATACATAAGGTCTAGCTGGGTTGGTAATTGCTTTCCAATAGCACCTTCCATTTTCACCTGTAGTTAGTCAGATCTGTTCAGACATTTTTTTTTTGGAGAGAAGTAGTAAAGTAACTTTGATTTGTTGCTGGAAATGCTGCATTGCTATATCTGAATTTTGTGATGAACCCAGTGAAGGATGTTCACTTTTGCAATTTGGAAGACATGAAGAATGTAAGAAGGTCATGTAAGGTCAGTTTTGCAAGTTTTGAGGGCCAATGGCAAAGTGAGACGACTTGTCTGGGGTTTGATACACTACTAGGAAAAGCATTTTCACCAGTAGGGAAACGTGTCTTCCCAGGCGTACGGCCGGTCCGCCTGCAGCACAACACCTGCAAAGATCGCCGATCTTCGCAGGCGGGCTGGTGGTCTGCCTAGGAAGATCATTTCCCTAGGCGGAGTGGAGCTAGACGGTTCGCCTGCGAAAATATAGAATGGCCGCCTGCAAAAAAAAATTGCCACCTGTGAAGATAGGTACAAATATTTGAAATTTGTTACAATGATAATTTGCTCATAAATTATTTTTCAATTAATTAATTAATTGTTGCATAAATAATATTAGTAAATAACAAGCTTTTGATACTGAGAAATCTACATATATTACATATATTCGTCGGTGGGGTTTTTGCTCAATTGCGTAGGTCCGCTTACGAAAATTATTTGCCAACGTCGGTGAAAATATTTTTTCTAGTAGTGATAGAGGATAAGATTATTCTTTCATCAAGAAAATTAAATGCTTTGAGCAGACAGTAGTAAGAACTAAGAACCCATAATCTTTCAAGTAGGAAGAAGAGTAGACATCCAAGTTTGAGTTTAAGAGTTTGAAGGCTCCT